AGTCAAGCTTCATGCTTTATATTCATGGAGTGAAACCCAAGAATTTTTAATTCAATTTGCTTGATATACCATGTAGCTGCGGACTTTTGAAAGGTACTGGCTGCACATATTGCCTATGTGTTGATCATCAAAAACGGCTATAAAGCAGTGCTGACAAACATTTCTCAGCGATATACAGAAGTATTAGGATATGCCATTTAGTTTTTTACCTTTAAAGTAAAGTGGACACAAGCAAATGCTATCATAGAAGAAAGGAAACTAGAACACCAAAAGAAAAGTAGATGTAGAGTAATTTTATTTTATAGATCACATTTTTTTAGTAGGAAAGTGCTAATTTATTTCGAGGGGCAGGTACCTCCCTTCATCAGGGCTTGAGTGATTTGGAAACACAGGAGCAGGTTGGGCTGAAAATTTACTGCCTGATAATGTCGGCACTCTCAGGGAATGGTGCTTGGTAATAAAGCTGAATGGGCTGGTGTGAAAATAGTTGACAGAAGATATATTCCTTCTAGCAAATATAGGTAACAAAAAGGAAGATTTTTTTTATTTATAGTTTAGAGATGTTTATGGAAGACAGATAAAGCAGTAGTAGTCACTTAATGCTGTCTTTTAAATTTTACAAGGTAATTTTTATCCTCCAAATCACTGGTTGGGTGTAATGTTTCCTTATTGTAAACAAAGACGGCTGTTTTTTCATTGCATGATTTCATTTCTGTGGCTTAAGGGAGCTGATTGGAGCTGAGAGTTCCCAGAAAGAGTGTCCCGATAAAGTCCTTGAAAGATCAACAATCAGCCACACATCCTGTTAGAGGGTAACTGTACTTTAAATAAACATCCAGGATCCCCATTCTTCTACCTTTTCATCAAATTTTCAAATGAAAATACAGACCTCAAATCTAGACATATTGGGACATCTCACTGCCGTGTTGTGCCGTGCCGTACCATAGGGTTAGGGGCAGTGGTGTGTTTATGTTCCTGTGGCGCTTCATTGCCTCATGAAATGGCTGCCTTGAGCCCAGTCATACAGAATAATGGCCATCATTGATGCATATGCCCAGCTAACAAAAGAGCTTACCTGATCCCTTTGGTTGTGCTAGTGATTACATTTACATTTCATAGGATGCTAGAGCACTACAGAGGCAAACACTGGTCAGTGCTGGGCAGGATGCAGCAGTAGAAGGATGCAGCAGTAGAAAGAATACATTTTTTGTACCATCCAAACTCACATTACAATGTGATGAGAAGTGAAGTAATGTCAAAATGGTGGTTGAAAGCACACCTACACTTACAAATGCTTATTTAGCTGTGTCTATGGTCAGACATACCAGTCAGTAGGGTGAAATGTGGGCAATCAGTGGAACAAATAATGAGATATGTGTAATTATATATTGAGAGATACCTGCAACTACAAAGGTGATCAGCATGGTTTAGAGGTGGTCAAAAGGTCACGCAAAAGTTACAGTTGAAAGTAACTTCTGTTGGCACCTGGAAAAGAACCATAAATAAAATGTAAAAACTCCCTTCTAGTGCTAATTATAGGACATAAATAAGTGACTTGTTTATACTGACCTGGAGGTAGTCAGCCATCTGTGATCACTCACTTATGGTTTGGTACCTGAGAGACCAATGGACAGTTTTTGAAGAGAATTGTGTCTTATGCAAATACTGAATTTCAAAAAGTTGGTACTTGGGGGCGCTGGTGGCAAATCAGGGCAACACACAGTGCCTGCTGTACAGCCATACAGTGGTTTGTTGCATTGCTGGGTCTACCACAGAGGAGGGCAATATGGAATTCAGTAGCTATCAGTACAGTGATGGAAGCTGATTTTCCATCCGGCTCCTTCGATTTCCTGATTGAAGGATGTTGTTCAGCCGGTTCATCATGTGTATGACTAGTGTAATTTTTTAGGGAGCTTTGGTTACCTGGCATTTGTCCAGCCCTGGTCTACCATGAATAAAGGTTGAGCTTAACAAATTAATATTGAAACAGACTGCAATTTTATATTGTATTGCAGCTGGCTATATGTTATATTGTTAACAATCCATTTTTATTGCTGTTTCTATGTGTACATGTTTGGACATTGCTAGGTTTGCATTGCTTAATATGTAAAGTATTGTGCCAGTGTCAGGTCAGCTTCCTGCTGCATTCATGGGAACTGTGGAGTTTCATTCAGCTATGGATTAATTACAGAGAAAGCTGAGCTTATCCTACTTTCCACATCTCTATTACTAGATCTTGCCCACAAACAGGTTAGAGATGTACCGAAAGAAGCTTATCCTGCGCTGCCTTTCATTCTGTTTCAGCAGCACTTCTGGAGAAAAGGGCTCTCTATCTTTAGCTGATGTGAGGTTGCTAGAACTTTTGGCGGAGGTGATTGGGTGGAGCTGACTTTCCTGGCATTGTAACACAGATTTTCCTGTTGTGATCCAATGTCAGCAGTCTCGCATTAGCTACCCCTGCTTAGCAAAAGGATTCGTTGTGTATCAGTAGCAGCAACCATCAAGACCCCTGACCTGTCAGCCCTTGGTTGGTTGGTTCCCTTCTTGCACAATGCTCCAACTAAAAGAAGTTTGGCGAGATCCATCGGTGAGTATTCAAGCTGATCTATCCACATCAAAGGGCCTTCTCAGATAACTGATACAGTGCTGTTTAAAGCTTGGGCTTTCTAGTGCCTGATTATAAATACACTGCATGTTCTCTTTGATTGAAAGGTTAGTTTCTTCTTGTTGGAGTATTATTAATTACAGCACAGTGTGGAAGAGTATGACGAGGAGGTAGAAACAGATGGCAGTACTTGAGTAGGGTCTGTTATACAAAGTGTATGGCAGAGCCCAATGTATCTTGTGTAAAGAACATTCAAACTTCAGTTTACATTTTCATCAGTCTTCCTCGGTGGCACTTTTAATAGATCTATTATATCAATCTATGTAATGTGTAGTGTAAGCAGTTCTTACAGTATTTATATTTTCTTGTTTATAAAGTTTGTTTTAGGTGTTAATATTTGTTTTTGAGGATTACTGTAATTCATTATTGTTGTTATTATTATTATTATTGTTATTATTATTATTATTATTATTATAAGAAGCATCTGATTAAATAGTGCTGTTTAAAGCTTGGGCTTTCTAGTGCCTGATTATAAATACACTGCATGTTCTCTTTGATTGAAAGGTTAGTTTCTTCTTGTTGGAGTATTATTAATTACAGCACAGTGTGGAAGAGTATGACGAGGAGGTAGAAACAGATGGCAGTACTTGAGTAGGGTCTGTTATACAAAGTGTATGGCAGAGCCCAATGTATCTTGTGTAAAGAACATTCAAACTTCAGTTTACATTTTCATCAGTCTTCCTCGGTGGCACTTTTAATAGATCTATTATATCAATCTATGTAATGTGTAGTGTAAGCAGTTCTTACAGTATTTATATTTTCTTGTTTATAAAGTTTGTTTTAGGTGTTAATATTTGTTTTTGAGGATTACTGTAATTCATTATTGTTGTTATTATTATTATTATTGTTATTATTATTATTATTATTATTATAAGAAGCATCTGATTAAATCGCCGTCAAATATATACCTTTCCACAGAGCTGCATAAATACATAGTTCCCAGAGCTTCACCTTTTATTGTGCTTATTACAAGGGAATAAAGTGTACGGATATTCCAGATGTAGCTCAAAGACCGGAACTGCAAGGTGTGAACTATGATTGAGAAATAAACCCTCTAGAGTCCACAAGAGATTAGCAAAAAGCAAGACTCATAACATCAGCCTATGCCTTTGACTAAATTACTTTTGTGTGGAGTGACTATTTAAAGCGGAACTCCAGGAATTTCAAAAGTTAACTCTTGCAGTGGGGCTACTGCTTGTTTTGTCTAGTTAGCAAAAATACAACAGAAATGACATACTCACCTGATCCTTGTTCTGCTAGACCGGTCTATGCAGCCTCTCCTTCCCCGGGCTCCGGTGGTCTTAGGATCCGTGATGTAATTACGTCTAATACGGTGTATTAGATGGGAAGGTACCAAGGGATATACCACAGTCGGAGTGCAGGGAGAGAGAGATGAACGGTCACTGCTGCAGGATTGAGGATTGGGTAAGTATATCTTCTTTATTATAGCCCCTAAAGAAAAAGGAGCAGTTAACCATTGCAGTGTGGGGGTGGCATAATTGCAAGGCTTACCTTTGAAAAATCTTAGAGTTCTTCTTTAAATAATATTGATTTTTATCTAAATAGTTTGATACCAATGTGAAAAATCTATTGTTGTCTTAATGATCACAGATGCCGCATCGGATGCCGGCGACAGTGGGGGGTCACGGGGGCCGTACGTGACGGCATCGGAGAGGCCCGGGGGGCAATTGCCACCCTGCCCCCCGGCCCAGTCCGCCCCTGTCTTAAAGTAAACCTATACTTGGTACCCTTAGGTGCCCAATCTCTCCTATCTGTCAGCACAGCTGGTACTTCCAGTTACAGAGGAACATGTGACACCTCCCCCTAGCTTCTGCAATTGAGCACTCTGTGGCCAATCACCACTGCCTGAACACTCTCATGGAAATACTTCGCTCACTGCAAATGCCAATTTCCAGAATGTTGCTGCAGTCCCTGCTGCTTTTGATCAGGGCAGTAGACAATACAGTAAAAGCAACACCTTAATGTGACCCTGTCGGTCCCCTAATAGAAGAGATAATATAGACACCTCTTCAGTGGCCCGTGTCTCCTACCTTCCCTCCCTTCCAGCACACCAGCCTCCATTACACTGTACGGTATTCAACACTTCCAGTAGTGTCAGATGGATCGCTACAGAACTCAGCAGTGATGTAAGGGTCAGAGGACAAAACCACAGGTTATGGCAGGGCATCCAACACTCCCAGAAGTGACAAATGCTGAAGGGTCTAATGGAGACTAAAACCCTGGACCAGAGTGACAGTAGGAGACTTGGACCACTAGAGTGGTGAGTATAGGAGCTCATCTATTGCCGGGAACCTCCATTTGGGTTTTTTAGGCAACTGAGGGGGACTGAGGGTCAGTTAAAACAGAACTATAGGAAAGCAGCATATAACAGTCCTGCTGTGCAGAGAATTACAGAAGGATGATCTAAAGACAGATTGGGGTACTATTTAAAATTAGATGTAATGGATTATATTTTATGGCATACATACAGTAATTATTATTATTATACAGGATTTATATAGCGCCAACAGTTTGTGCAGCGCTTTACAATATAAGGAGAACATTAAAATCACAATACAATTCAAGACAAGATGCTAAGGAGGGCCCTGCGTGACTTAAATGTGGTCTTTAACCACTTGCCGTCCGCCCGTTGTTAAAAAACCGATGCTCTATCTGTCCCCAAAAAGGGTATAAAATTCATTTCAGTACAGCGTTGCATGACTGAATAAATGTCAGTCAAAGTAGCGCAGCGCTGAATACTGAAAAATGGCCTGGATGGGAAGGGGGTTTAACACCGCGGATGTCAACTGGTTAAAGAATTCCTGAATTGAGCTCCAGAATTACTGCAAGGACCACTATAGCAAAAATACTGTATTCTGGTAACTCTGTGGTAAAGACCTGAAATTATATTATCCAGTATGGAACCCTTTTTTCTTTTCTTCATTTCACATCCCCTTATTTTTATTTTTAATTTATTTACATGCAAACCAATCTACAGTATCTAGAAAATGTGACATATGACAAATGTCGCCCCTCCCTTTTAGATTGTAAGTCCTCACGGGTAGGGCCCTCCTTACCATCTTGTCTTGAATTGTATTGTGATTGTAATGTCTTCCTTATTTTTTTTTTTATTTTTTTTTTTTAGCATGCCAGTTTTTATTGAAAATATACACAAATAAAGCATTACACAACAAGCAGACTTTGCAAAGCCACAGAGACTGTATCTCAGTACGCAGACTGAGAACCAGGCAATGTCTTCCTTATATTGTAAAGCACTGCACAAACTGTTGGCGCTATATAAATCCTGTATAATAATAATAATAACCATATAACTCCTCCAATACCAGGAAGCATCAGGTATTGTCGTTAAAGGCAGAAGGGCAAGCGAAAGCTAATAAAAGCACCAGGGGCCTAAAAACAAAAGCTAATGTGCAATTAACAGGCCAAATAAACTTTTGCAGTTGAAAAGAAAATTGTTAAGCCATTTGATAATTGGTTGAATTTATTTTTGTTTAAAAACAATGTGAAGCTGAATGAGGGTAAAATAGATAATTTCCTTTTTCTTTTGCACATCTGAGTTTATATCAATTAAGATAATTATTGTTTAGAATGTCATATTTGTTGCACTATCGCTTAAACTGCATGGCAGAACCAAGTTTTAGATTTAGTCCTGACATTTTTTGTTTTCCGCGTTTAACCACTTTTGTTTAAACTAGCAATAGTGAAGAATACCTACCCTGTGATTTACAAAATCTGCCCACAGTTAGTTCTTACGCAGCGCACCACAACACGTTAGTACGTTGCCACACATTGCACTGCTACGCACATCTGCTAGGAAGGTGCATTGGCGCTGTGAACGTGCCTGTCATCAGCAGACTTTCTATAAGTCACTATTTCTATCAGCTTAGACCTATAGGTCTAAGCCTATACAAATAAGGTTTGACAAAATAATATGAAATTTAATAGCCAGTCTGTCCAATCCAGGAGCCACCATAGTTTCTTTAGGAGCTAGCCACCAGAGAAAACCTCAAAAGTTGTTCAAGTAGATCGCATCACACTCCTGACCGGGTATAACCCAAGATAATGGGTGGGTGCTGAGATGACAGCAGATGCCTCTGCAGATCAGTGTCACAGGGTAGAAAATAACATTGACTGAAATTCTTATTGGGGTGCAAGTGACTTTTCTACCATGCAACCTCAAACGTTGGGCGCCAGCTGTAATTTTTAAGGAGCATTGGCTACCGGGCTCCTGGCATTTGTCCAATCCTGGCTTAGACTCACCTCCATCCTTGATGTGGCAGTTTGTCAAGAGAATAGTTGCAATGGGGAGGGTACGGTCTGGCACCTTATGGTGCCTACTAGTTTAGCTTGGGACTTTTTTGTTTTTGTATAAATGTACTTTAAGTGCTGTGTTCTCCTACCATCCTGTAGTGCATGCAACGTTATTTTGCCTTTCTACTTTTTTCCTTTTGTGCTTGGTTGGTAGGACAGATCCTCTGATGATTATAATATTTTTAGCTCTGTCTCCTAACAAGATAGTGGTTTGATCTATATGAAAACCCTTTATGTTACTACAAATTGAGGTCATCAAGTTCTCCCCATAGCTAGCTATTTCTCTTTTGATTCTATATTTTTCTTCAGTCATTTTTGCTACATTCTTACAATTTCTCGTTGATCTGAACATATTCTTGATATAGCTATTGTAACTTGATGACTGTATTAGTATTTTCTAACCAGGTTTCATTCAAAGTGAGTTGTGGTGTTATAATCATTTGTAATTGTATGTTAGAAGAATGTTTGACTCCTTCCAGACTATACAGTAAATAGTAAATTATTATTTATATACACCCAAGTTAATTAATGTTAGTATTATCACAAAGTTTCAGAGTTTTTTTCGGCACCACATGGACAATATTCCAATACACTCTAATATAGTAAAGCAGATTTGCAGACTTTCTAGCTATATGCAGATACATTGTGAATCTAAGAGGAAACATTTATTATATTGAATCTTACCAGTACTTAGATGTGGTGCTTGCATTAACCCCTTCATGACCGAGGCCCCTTTTTCATTTTTCTTCTTTAAATGTTATAATCCACATTTGAGGCCTGACAGTTACTTAAAACCCCCAAACATTATATATTTTCTGAAAGCCAAGACCCTATAGCATAAAACGGTGGCAGTTGTAAATTTTTATGTTGCACGCTATTTGCGCAACTCCTTATCAAACCCCAAACTTTTGTGTTGAAACCTGTGCACTGAACTAAAATCTCAAACAGTGTTTTTAACCCTGCTTCATTTTCTTCTGCGAGCAACAGAACACCTTTCCCTTATGTCATGGAGATGAGGATATTTTGAATCTATCTACACACATGTGGGGGTCTGCTTACAAGCCAGAAGACTGCCAACCCTCATGTGGCAAAGCAAAATTAGGATCAAGTACTGATATCACTGGCTAGTCTCCTTAGTTGCATAGATCCGGTCTGTTCTTCTTGAGATAAGGTGAGAAGGGTTCAGATCTCCCAGGTGGCACCAATGTCATATCATTGTGGATCCAGATGACTAGGTAGAATTCTTTCCTGTACCAAGTTTTGACATCAAATCTAAAATGGTTAAGGTTTATACAAAATGGTGGGTGATCATCAATGATCATCTAAACATCCCATAAATAACTACATTTATCCAAACTGCATTAAACAAAAGGACAAGAATGGTTCCGTTTAGAAGAATGGTACATGATTCATCATATGTTTTAAATTAATTTTAAGAGTGCTTCAAAATGCATGAAAACACAAAGGTATGACTGCACCTTTATATCCACTGCCTGTCATTATAGTCCATATTTCCTGATTACATCATTTAAATCTTCAATGGGAATCCAAGTACGTGGTGTACATTCAACAGAAGTATTGTTATAAGCTGCTGTTCTCACCAGTTGTTGGCAGGAGTGCAAGTTAATACTCTCGCCCTGGATGTACGTTGTGGCGAAACAGCTTTTTTATCGTCTGTGACACCACAGTTAACAAAGAACGGGGTGGGGTAAAAGCACCAGCATTCATGAAAATAATGTTTGACATTTCATATGTTCTTAGGACTTTAGGCCAAGGCTGTAGTGGGGCAAAACAGATGAACTTGGAAAGTGCTGTCTACCTCCTGTCTATGCAGACTGGCAGAGGTGTATCTATCAAAAAGTGGCTAGATAGAATTTTAAATCCTTTTGGCAGATAAGACAGTTCACATATGTTTTTTTCCCTTGTATATAGTCCCCATTTTAACTTGAGCAATAGCATTCAAGTTTTTCAAGCATTTCCAGGCTTGAACATATTTGTTTTAGCCAATGGAAAGATAATTACTAGTAGTAGGAGACAGGTGTAAAACTGTGCAATAAACTCAAGCTATGTGCGATTTTCTGGTGTTTTTCAGGTTATCCCATTAAAGTCTGTAAGGGCCCGTCACACTTGCTGTGCGTATGAACACAATGCAGGAACAACGTGTGACGTGCTTGCGGCACCATTACTTGTTAATAGCACCCCACCAAATGTGTAGGCAAAATGCTCATCTGGCCATTCATTGACACATGACGCTCATAGATCAAACTGCTGCGGTGAACTTCTCTGCCACGTTTGTCATGTGTAGGGCAGCCCAATTAAATGAATGGGCTGATTCATGGCAACCCTCACAAAAATACGATGCACAGTCATGCATAGGCCAAAAGCTCATGCTTCTGGCTAAGTAGCTGCTCATACACTTTCTAGAGCTTCAAACTACAATCGACACAACACTGAGGTGTGAACAGATAGCATTAAATACAATGAGATTCTTCACGTTGAGCAATGTCACACTTTAGGAAACAGGTGATAAAATGCTCAGGTGTGAATGTTGGTTAACTTTTGCTTGGCGTTTAGATTTAAAGTTATGCAAATCATGACTATTTTAATTGTGCTGCTATTAACTGGATGCTACAGTCCTTTGCTTTATCAACATCATTTAGTTAACGATAACAGTTTTCTGTCCTACATGGAGCATCCTCAATACATTTTTAAATGAATAAACATATGCTAGGCCTTGATTTGTTAATATGTTTCTTTGCCCGGGGCTTATGTAAGACTGTGAAAATAATCTGTTTCTATAAAAAACACACTAATTGAATTTGAGTGAAGTCATTCAGTGGGCGGGTTTTGATTCTCAAGCTACTGCTAATGAGTATAAGCCTTAATGACCCATAGTTTTGTTGCATTCTTCATTTTGTTTTGTGTTCTCCATGATTCACTGCACATTCAGAGGGAGTTCACAGACTTCACAGTGTACAGTGTTGCAGCTGTGCTGGCTAAAACTGTCCATGGACCTGGACAACAAAGCCTGTGAATGTGGTACATCTCAGCGAGTGTGAAGCATCATTTTTGCTTCTGCTTCACCGACCTGTCTACCCAAGGCAGCAGTGAGCCCATGACGAGAGCAGAGGCAGGGAGAGCCGTGTAGGGCGACTCGACAACGCCATTCCTCTCGCTCGGACTGGAAAGTGGAGCAGGAATTGCAGCTTCAGTAATTCCAGGTTACCCTTGTAAGACAGCTTTTCACAGCAAGTTAGACTTCTTAAGTGTTGACGTTAGGCGGAAGGAGACCGAAGATGATCCAGGTGTGAATTAGACAGATAGCAAGGCATATGAATGTTTTTATATAGGGGTATTTTCCTGCATAATGTAGCTGATGATAGTTTTCCATCCAGGATTGCTTATCTTGTATCTAACAAAGGAGATATGTCAGTCCTGTCTTCAGTTTGCATTACTAGACAAATCAATTTGGAAGAATACATAAGACATTCCTTTAGTCCCTTTTAGGTTCCTTGCATCTCATAGTTTCTATGCTATTTTAAATTAATTTCCAGTCTTTTATGCACAGAAATAAAAATAAAAAAATCAGCCACTTGTACAAAGTTTGGTGTTGCACCCGCACCTTTTATTCTTTTTAGGTCAATTTTAAACTCTTGCGTATAAGTAGACAGCGGTGTAATTGTGGCAACAATTTGTTTAGTTTTTTCAATTAGCCTGGCAAAAATATGTGTGAACAATAAGAAAGTTAATTGCCAGCGGAGCGAGTGTCTACTCTGGGTATCTTGCGGACTTAATTCAAACAAATGTGATTGTATTGCTAATCAAGTTGACAACCCCCCATGGTTGATCCCTCTCGACTAATCAAACTTTACATTTTGCTTCCAGATAGCTGATCAGCTTCCCTGGATTTCGCTGACGACACAGGAAAGCTTTGCTTGAAGATGGAAACACTGGAGTCTGAACTGACCTGCCCTATCTGTCTGGAGCTGTTTGAGGATCCACTGCTGCTGCCTTGCGCTCACAGCCTCTGTTTCAACTGTGCGCATCGCATCCTGGTCTCCCACTGTGCCAACAACGAATCCGTGGAATCTATTAACGCCTTCCAGTGCCCCACCTGTCGTTATGTCATCACACTCAGCAAGCGTGGCTTAGAAGGACTCAAGCGGAACGTGACTTTGCAGAACATCATCGACAGATTTCAGAAAGCATCTGTGAGCGGGCCTAATTCCCCTAGCGAGACGCGCCGTGAGCGGGCATACGATACCAACAACAGTATGACATCCAGTGAGAAAGTACTCTGCCAGTTCTGTGACCAGGACCAGGCACGAGAGGCCATAAAAACATGTGTGACCTGTGAAGTGTCCTACTGTGATGACTGCTTGAAGGCAACTCACCCAAATAAGAAACCATTCACTGGTCATCGTTTAATTGAACCTATCCCTGACTCGCATATCAGAGGGTTAATGTGTCTAGAGCATGAGGATGAAAAGGTGAACATGTACTGTGTTACAGATGACCAACTTATATGTGCCTTGTGTAAACTGGTCGGCCGGCATCGAGATCATCAGGTGGCTGCTCTTGCTGACCGATATGACAAGTTGAAGGTAAGAGCATCATCAACTGATGGTCAACTGAATCTCTATTGGCCAATTTACAATCCTGTGATAGGCATTATACACAAATGGGTTTAAAGGCTAAAAACCAAAGGCAGTAGCTTCACTACATTTCAGAAACCAATCAGAACTCAGCTTTTTTTAATCTGCCATCTCTGAACAGGGAAAAGCTGATTTCTGGTTGGTTGCCTTGCAGTTTTACACATTGTTTCCTTTTTTTGTTTTGTTTAATAATTCCGTAAATCAAGTTTCAATATAGTACCATCAGATGGCATTTAGGAATTCCCATTAGTACTGTATTGGCATGTTTTCAAACATACATTTTAACCTAATTCATTTTCAAGGCTGAACATTTGGCTTGCACATTTCAAATAAAGATTAACATTTAAGCTGGCTTTGAATAAAATATAAATGAATGCTAAGCGGAATATAATGATAAGGTCATGTTAGTCCAGTGTTCTCTTGATCTGTAGAGGTAATTAATATGGACTTTGAGTATTCTTCATAGCAATTTAAATAGATTACAGTTATGTCCCTCTATGATTATTCAGTTAAAAAAACAGTTTACAAAGAACGTAACACTTTTAATGTCTCCTTGATGGACATAGGTGACTAATAATTTTTTTTCAAGTACGTTTTTTTTGTTGTATTAGCAGAACACTTATAGCTATTTTGCTGTACTCAATCATTCCTGTGTATACAGGTAGAACCATATAATCACACCATCAAAATTGTTAACATGTACCAATTATTTGTGTTTAAAATGAAGCCATATTTTTTTTGAAGATTCATCTCTACAGATTACAGAAACACATCTTTTGTTCCATAAATAATCCTCGGGATGTTGGTATTTTGGCGCCAGGCTTTGTTTATTACTTACTCTCTAGTGTCGCTAATTATTTTAATAGTAGATCATTCTTCATTAGGCAGAAAACAGACAGCCTGTGCAATCTCCCTTCTTTTAGCCCAGATGGAAAGTAACCTTTATTTTTAGTTGGAATACCATAGCACTTAGCTGATTGGAACATGCAGAGATTCAGAGAGGGTGGAATGTATGCTTTGATTGCTGACTAGTCCTTATTCTGACAAGTTGTAATCCATTCTGTACATAGAAGCAACTGTTAGCATAAATTATGCATTCACACCCATCAAGCCTAGAGGTATTGTAAGTGTACATAGTCTTATTTATGCTGCTTTATAAAGGCTTAGTAAATCATATGTTTCTCATTTTTAGAAAGTAATGTCCTCCCATTTCTTGAATCAGAAGAACTTATTTTATTTATTATATTTACTTATTTTGGTATTTATCTAGATTTAAAGTGGCACTAAACTCAGGAGTTAAATTGCATTCAGGTACCTTAACTATTAACAAAAATGTACCTTATTTGTACATCACTCAGCTGTTGATCCTCAAATGAATTCATGCTGACTTTTTCTGGAGAGTGGCTACTTTTGTTCCCCATGGTCCCTGTGTATGTTGTAAAGTAGCCACTGCTCCAAGTTTGCTCCCGTAACTGACCACAATCTCACGTTTAGTTTACTAATTTGTATTGTCCATCACGGGAGCAAGTTTGGAGTGGTGGCTACTTTACATCACACTCAGGGACCATGGGGAACAAAAGTAGCCACCTGCCAGAAGGAAGGAGAGTGTCAGCTGTAGATCCTCAAATCATCTCTGAATTGGTGCTGAGTAATATGCAAACAAGGTACATTTTTGTTAATAGTTGTTTTTTTTAATGCATTTTTAAGATTTCACTCCTGTCTTTAGTGTCACTTTAAGTTTTAAATGTATTCTTTGGAAAAACTGGTATTTCCACTGTTGGTGAGAGTACTGCAGTTCATTTTCTCATACTGAAGCATCCTAAAAGTGTCTATCACCTTGCCCTGCTAGGAGTCCACCATGTTGTGTGAAGTCTCTGTAGGTGGATATTGGTATTCATTGTCCAATATTTTTTCAGCATGCCAGTTAGCTAGTATTCTCCATAACCATGTAGTAGCCCAAATCATTACACAGTTCTGTCCTAAGCAGAAATGTGTTATCTGCCAGTGGCGGTAAGTCATACTCCTGATTCTGTAGGGGGGTAGCGCGAAGAAATTTTTTTAAATTAGGGCATAAAACTACATAGCAATGGGCTTGTCTTTATGATAGAAAAAGAAAAGGAGAATACACTTCAACTGGTTCCCCCTGTTTAATTCATATTGGTCAGAGGGCAGGAAAGCAGCCTTTAATATGTAATGGTAGTCATTGAGCACTGCTATCAGAGTGGTCCTGCTAAAGCATCTGCTTCCACAAGTGGGTAGTTGCTAAAACCAAAATTGGATTTCCCAATCATTGTACAAAAGCAGTGTTAAGGGAGAGAACGTGAAGTAAATAAAAGGCTAAGAAGCAAGTAGAAGATGTTAATTTAAACTTGAAATGTTTTCTTTTTTTAATCATATTATGTAAGTTCCTTTAATCCAGACTAATATTGAGAAACATTATGACTTTGCAAGTACTTTAGGGGTACTTTAGGGGTGCAAAGTTCTCATAATTTTTTTCATTTTTTTTCCAAATAGTCCACTTTAATTCTCAGAATTAGTGTTAGAAAATATATTTTTTCTAGAAGTTTTTATATGTACGTTAGATATAAATATTATCAATGTGAGCTATTTTTACATGCATGTTTGTATGTAACCTTGCACATCACACCCTTTAGACTCAGGCACCAGAACTGATGATCGCAATTTTACAAACGATTTACACCAGAAAAATGAAGTCGTGGAACATTTGGTGGATACAGTGTATTTTATAGTGTATCTTATAGCGACATATAGACGTTAAGTGTACGTCAAGCATGACTGCTTAATTGGCAACAACAATTGGCACTCAGAGTACAGTTCACTCCATACCACAATACTAGGATGTGGTGACAGGTACTTAGGCTATCTATTATGAACATGTGTTTTTTCTTTTGGAAAGCTAGTGAATGGTTAGGGTAATTTTTTACCTTTTACAGTCAAATTTGAGAAACCCCCACTATATGTTTGATATTTGTTCTCGTTCATACAGCATAACTAAAAATGATTTCAAAAATATATTTCCTATCTTTTTAGTTGTTTATTTGGAGCAGGATTATACGTAGGACTCTATGGGCAGCTTCTTTGAAAAGAGGCAATGGGGACAGAATGGAGGGACAAGACTGAGAGTGAATTAACATGCAGAGCAGACAAAATCTGGAGCAGCTGTGCATGACAACCAATCGGCTACTATCTTTCATTTCCAAAGCTTAACAAAACAAGCTGAAGAGAGGAGCTGATTGGTTACTATGGGCAACTGCTCAAGACTCTGTCTGTTCCAGTTTTGATAAATCCCTCCAATGTCCCTCCAAAGATCTTTAACCCTTTGTTAGAACAGACAGCCATGTACATCTAGTTAACAACTGATAAAGAAATTTGCCAGCACCGTGTAAACTGGATTAATTATGGAAAACACAGCTACTCAGGCCCCTCATAAATATTACAGAACAGAAGAACTAAGTAGACTTTTTCAGGCCTGGCGTCTTCAGAAAACGGCATATAAAAAAAGCAGATTTCTTTAAAGTGATGCTGTGTGAATGGGAACATGTAGCAAATACTGTATAAAGAAGGATATATCCCAATTTGGCTACAAAAGTAGAAATACACTTTCAAAAAATGTGTCATTGTTTTCTCTCCAAAGTAAAGGAAAGTCACTTCTTTGACACTTGTCACTAAACGTGTTCCCATTGGAAGATTTCCCCTCACCTTCTGTTCTAGTAACAACTGTAGGGCAGGTTGAATCTCCCCAATGAAGACTCAGACATCAGTTCAAACCTTATAAGGATTTAACCCCTTCTCTACTGAAAAAAAGTGTTTGTAGATAGAATTTAAAGAAATCATGTAAATGAAAATGTATAGAAAGATATAGCAGGAGACGGTTGTTTTCAGTAGACATCTAAAAATAATTAAATACTTTTTTTTCCAGTAAATGTTGTATAGTAAGTTTCCAAGATCTAGCCAGAGACAGGTATTTTTCAATAAACCGCTACCAGACTAAAATTCTGTTTTGTAGTAAATTGTCCATAGTAAAAACAATATAGTAACTGGCATTTCAACACCGTGAAAGCCAAACAGAGCCACAATATTGGGGTGGAATCTTTCAGTTTTTATTTTAATTGTAAGAACCTGTGGATTCACTACACCACAATTTGCAGCTTGTGGAGACACACAAAGCTTACTAGCACACACACGGGTGGCTCCATAGGACTTGCTAGGGAAAGGAGACACCCTAAAACAGGATATCAAAAATACCATAAGAGACTTGCCGATTGACGTTCGAAATTTCATTTCATTTTCATTTAACAATCGATTTTGGAAGAAATGGAGTTTCCTGAACTAGAAATTTTTCATCACTGCGGTCAAAATTGTTCATCAATTTGACCCCATAAGCGAATAGAAAGTCTAGCAAACATTACGAAATATATTTAGTTCCTTCGAATTTCTAACCGTGTATTCCTTACTGAAGTTTCTAATCGCTAGCACATCCCTAAAGTAACAATCCCACACTTTACGATCCCTTTTGCAATCCCCTTCCTCACTCTGCGCAATGAAGCCTGGTGTGTGCAGAACTCAACCAGTGATTTTAGTAGTTCTACACAAAATTTGAAAATGTCACAGGGGCCCAAGTAGTGAGAAGACGACAATGCAAGAGGAGCCTTTTACAGCACATGCAGCATGGGAGGCGACTGCAAGAGCAACTTCGCAGAGTGATGACACTGAGTCTGCAATATGAACCATTACATTTATTTATACGTGTTCCCCATGATCCTCTATAACGGAGCAAAATAAGTAGAAGTCTATTTTAATAGAACTTGCAAACAGACTATACATTCCCAATGTTTTTCATCCATGAAAGCACTACAATTAGCCATTATGTGCCAAGCTTAAAAATGCCAGACAGATTGTCAATCCCAAACAAGTTTGTAGTTATATAA